TATCAGTATTCCAGTTGGAAAGGATTCTATGAGCATGAAGATGAAGTGGAAGGACTCGAAGAGTGGTTCCACCACCGAGGTCACTGCACCGCTGTCGCTGGTGATTACAGCATTCGCACCAGTTGACAGAATCGACCGAACTTGGACGCCTGCCCTACGAAGGCCTCAAGATGTTGGAGAGACAATCCTACTCTACGTCGATCTTGCGGGTGGGAAAACTCGCATGGGAGGCTCAGCTCTAGCTCAAGTCTTCCGCCAAGTGGGCAATGAAGCACCTGACGTGGAAGATGCTCTGGTCATAAAAGATTTCTTTGATGCTCTGGAAGAACTGCACGAGTCTGGCATTGTGCTGGCATATCATGACCGCTCCGATGGCGGTCTCTTCACCACGCTTGTCGAAATGGCATTTGCAGGACGCTGTGGTATCGATGTTTACTTGGACAACATCACGCCATCGTCAGAAACACATACCGTGGTCGAAACACTTTTCAATGAAGAGCTCGGTGCGGTTTTTCAAGTGCGAAAAGAAGACGAAATCGCTTTCAAGAGTGCATTTGCGACATGTGGCCCACCACCTGGTCTCATCAAACGGATAGGAAAAGTGACAAAGACTCAAGACATTATTATTAGTTCTGGCTCAGAAGTCCTCTATCGCAACACTCGTTCAGCATTACAACAACAATGGTCGGGGACGTCATACCAAATGCAAAAACTAAGGGATAATCCCCTGTGTGCTCAAGCAGAATACGATAACATCACTGATAGCGCAGATCCCGGATTATCATACCATCTTACCTTTAACTCGAAAGACAACATTCTCCCTCTCACTAGCACGATATCCTCACTCGTAACAGCAAGACCACGCGTAGCCATCCTACGCGAAGAGGGCGTAAACGGCCACCCAGAAATGGCATTCGCATTCCACGTCGCTGGATTCTCAGCCATGGATGTACACATGACGGACATACTGTCCGGTCGCGTCTCCCTCGCATCTTTTGTTGGCCTCGCTGCCTGCGGTGGATTCAGCTACGGTGACGTATTAGGCGCAGGACGCGGTTGGGCGTTATCCGTCCTTGAAAACCCCGAGTGTCGTAAACAGTTTGAGGCATTCTTCAAAAGAAAAGACACTTTCACGTTAGGTGTCTGCAATGGCTGTCAATTCCTCAGTCGCATCAAAGAAATCATACCCGGTGCGGAGAATTGGCCCACCTTCGAGACAAATGTGAGCGAACAATACGAAGCACGCGTCTGTATGGTCGAAATCATAGACCCATCCTCCACTACCTCCAAATCATGTCAAACCCCCTCCGTATTCCTACACGGCATGCACGGCTCCAAATTTCCCATCGTGACCGCCCACGGCGAAGGTCGCGCTACTTTCCCCAAAGATGCAGCTAGTTCGAATACACCGCATGCGTTATACGCGGAGGGACTCGTGGCGATCAGGTTTGTGGACAATTATTTAAGGGAGACCGAAAGGTACCCGTTTAATCCTAATGGGAGTCCTATGGGGATTACGGGGGTGAGGAGTGTGGATGGGAGGGTTTTGGCGTTGATGCCACATCCGGAGAGGACGGTGTTGAAAGAGGTGAGGAGTTGGGCTCCTGAGGAGATGGAAAAGGAATGGGGGGAGTTTGGGCCGTGGCTTAGGATGTTTAAGAGTGCGAGGAGGTGGGTTGGTTGAGCTTGAGTGTGAGCTTGGGTTTGATCAGGGGTTGGTGTTGGGGAAGTGAGAGAGATGGTTCTTGGTTTGCTTCTGTCAAGGTAGGTACTAGACGGCTGATTCTGGAAGCCGGAACTTGCATATTCGACGGTATTATCATGGGCATTCTAGAGAATTGTATTAAGATTTCTGCTTTTCTGGTATTGCCTGGTATTAACAATGACAAAGGAACTGCGCACAATCTCAGTTGCCCTGATTTCAGGGCCTCTGTGACGCACAAGATCTCCGTCACGAATGCAGTGAGCAAGCTGAAGGCAGAGTCAGTATGGCAGTAGGGATGTTGTGCGCTTCCCACATTAGAGGCATCTATTTATGTCGACATGCCCTTGCACGGGTTGCAACGCCAACATAATCAGGGGGGGCTGACGGACCACTGCAACTTCATCTCAAGGAATGAGACATTAACACAATCAAAGACGCTACCTATAACATCGAATTTATGCACCGGGAAACCTCGGTAGTGATTACGGCACTCGTCTTGGTTGTGCAGTCACGATTCGGAGTCTCTGCTTATCTTTGGCTGGGAGCTACAAAATACTCCCTGCTACGAGCCATGGGGGACGCACGATTACAGCGGCCAATTCTTTATGGTTATTGACGTCCCCTAAGTTTCCCAATTTGGGTATTTAGTTTGTCAAGATGATATGCGAAAAGATAAAGACAGCTATTTGCCCGTGAGTACTTGCAGCGGAGGAGAGACACTGAACATATCGTCAAGTGATGTGGTTGAAGTTCGCGGCTCTTATCGTAGGGCTCGCCTGTGCGGTGCAAGGTTCGCTTCATGTACTCCATGGTCTAGGGACTGTCCTACGGCGAGAATTTGGCAATGGTACGAAGTCGATACCAAGGACTCCGTTCTTGCTGACGGATCCACTCTACAGCAGACCCTTCATTGACGTGGATGAATGGAGAGAACAACTGTTGCGGCATAGATATGTGCATGGTGGATTTAATGCCTAAAATCTGCGATTCTCATTTTACTTCCCATGGAAACAGCAATATGGCGGCCGATTCTTCCACGGAGTGGCTGATGTTGGGGAACATGAGAATAGCTTCCTTGGGAAGACGGCTGAAGAAGTTATAGTTGAGGATATTGTCCCTTTTTCTTTCGAGACTGGAGGTTATGCTGTTGAATTAAATCAAGGAACTTTGGACAAGTTTCCACCGGCAGACGCTACGATCACTGCTTTTAGAGCAAGCAAGGTAGCCGCAGAGTTTTCCAGATAAGTGGCTGTTGAGATGTACGAATACGAGCATCGACCGTATGGTTATATTTTTGGAGGTAGGAAAGGTGGATACAAGACTATGTCTTGCATCAAGAATGGCTAGGAAACTTGAGATGGAGCGGTACCTTTCACAATTGGATCACCAATTAGCATTCCGAGCACTTTTACCGTCAAAGCCCACCACTGCGTATCTTGGAGACTAAGTTCTCGCGTATCATCGACGCTATTGATCCTGGCGGTAGTGGGAATCCTTATGCCGGTCTGAACCCGGAGGAGCGAGATGCTTTGGTGAAATTGACGAAGATGGGCTTCCCAATGGCAGCGTGGTTTCGCCATCAAAAAATTGCACAGAGTGACGCACGTGTTTTTCCTAGCCTGCTTGACATTCTCGTCAGGTGGGATCCTACGTACTTCGATGCCGATTTCGGGACCAAACCTGGGTATCTAGGATTTGACGGGCCAGATAGTCTATTGAAGTCTTGGACTCAGCATAACACTACCATCAAGCGAATCATTTGCACGAAAGAGGCGTTGGCCTTAGGGATGCCGATATCAGTGCTTGGGAATTTGACACGTACTGACAATGATTTACCGGTCGCAGTAATACTGCAATCACTTCCCGATGGAGAAGTTCGAAACTCTGCTTTGAGATTCTACTCTGGAAGGTAAGGGACCAGGTCTTCTTCATTTCGAGACCGGTTGGCGACAGGATTGTGCTATTGGTTGAGCAAGACAACTTCCGTGCAGTCCAGAAGATTGCGGTTGGTAATTCAGTGGCCATCGACAACTCCTGGGTTTTGGCAGCGCAAACATATCACTGTCACCAGAAGCCTGGACTTAATTACCCAGTTTGGATCAGTTTAGAGTTCGCGGTCAGCCAATCTACCCTGTCCGTGAGAGTTTGCTTAATTTCGGTCCCACCGTGCTTGGTACCGGCACTGACCAGTCAGGAAAGTTTACTGGTAAAGTTGTTGTCGTCCAGGCGCACATGGACGAGACTGCTTTCCCATGGCAGACTGGTATCATCGTCAGGTGGAGAAAATTTTGGGTGCAAAGGCAGACAGTCAATTCCGCCTCTGGATGATTGAGCACGCTATGTACACCACTCCTGCCACATAGCGTGGGTCTGTAGAAGAGGTTTCTGAAAACACTCGGATAGTGTCGTATATTCCCGCGATTCAGCAAGCTCTCCGAGAAGTTAGTATGTGGGTGGAACTGGGGATACCACCGCTTCCGACCACCAACTACACAGTCATTGGCGACCAGGTTATACTAGCCAAGACAGCTGAGGAGCGCAAAAGCCTGCAGCCGGTAGTAACATTGACAGCAAATGAAAAGCAAAGAGTGGACGTAAAAGTGAGAGAAGGCGTCTCTTTTTTATCCTCGTTAGATGTTCCTCCGGGTGCTAGACAGGTGGTCTCATTGGAATTTGACTTCGAAGATTACGGCGATTACATTGTTTCTATTCCTGTTACCACCTCCTCAGGTTCGCAAAGCAGTGCTACCGCAAATGTTGTTTACTCTTTCAACAGACCGGGGACTTATTTCCCAGCTTTTAGAGGAGCTTCACAGCAGCACTATCCACTAACGCCTTCAGACCTTCCTTCCTCCTTCGGGAAGGTCCAAAATTTGGGACGCGTGCGGGTAGTAGTTACGTAGTGAGAAGCTGTGTTCCGGCTCATTAGAGAGTAGAAGTTAGTGCATTCCCTGACTATGACAAACCTTACAGTAATCTACACTTGTCCGGTAAAGTATACTTGGGGAGAACTCGTGTCTCGGTTTCTTAGTACAGAGTTTGCCACAAGAACATGCCTCTCTTCCAGATAATTGAATACTTGTACATAGGCCTGCACAAATACAATTGTCTGGTATTAACAAAAACGACATTTCAATGGAGAGGCCGTTGTGAGCTGACCCTCGGATTGAGGAATGCATGACTAGAACCATAGGTTAAAAGTTTTGCACAGTAAGTTTTTACACTGGAGGAAAACGGAAACTTCGCAAACCAATCTGGTCTGTACTGATTCACGAAAACAAAAAAGATGCATGGACTCTCCCGCCGGGAATCGAACCCGGGCCGTCCGCGAGCTTGTATAATGACAAGCGGAAACTGAAGAGATGTGAGAATTGACTATGGATAATGAGTGAAACAGGTACGTACTCATAACCACTAGACTACGGAAGATTGGCAAGCTTGGCTTGACGTAGATTACTAATTTTGAAGCACTGTTTGAGCGATTTGTAATATACCAGAGAACAAGTAGCTGGAGCCGAGACTGGCTGTCGAAAAGCGGCGAAACCCTGCGAGTTAGATACGTCAGGCTGAAACCGACTTAAGCCAAAGAGATCGCCTCCAGAAATTGCTTTTTTGCATTAGCAAATATAGTGTCGATATTGAACAACGGAGCGTGGGAGGAGGTCATTATATGTCCCTTAGCCGGTGCGTTGAATGTAGGTTAATGCTACTGTAGAAGCAGTAAGCATTCTTGTTGAATTCTAGGGGAGCCCCCAGGATGTAATACGTAAGTATCTTAAGACTCGAGGAAAAGCCCATGGGGTTTATAAGCACTTAAAGGAGTAAGCCACAAAGCAACGCGAAATGGTTTAACAGTTTGATCACGTGATCCGCAGGAGAAGAAAATACTAGCGTTGATTGGCTCGTTCGACGGAGATTATTGCTGATCGTCGACATTCGCTACTCCAAAAGGGCATTTAAGAACACGGACCCCTGCAGATAGACCTTGTCTTCCATCCATCAACGTAGGCTCTATGTCGTAGCTCCACGGCTGTCTACTCTGGCGTATGATGCTAACTTCTACTTTCTACAGATCTGGATAAACGCTCCGTGCTGGCGACCCGTGACATTCTGTGTGATGACAGTAATCATCCCTGGTCAATATGGGAATGCTGCAACCCACTCTCTTCTCAGGCTTTACTCACAGAAGTTGGTTTGAATATATATTGTTTTTGGTGGATTTCCCAAAACACGCCTCGCAAAACGTCACAATGTCTTGCTCCATTATATACAAGCAAGCCTTTAGGCTATTCGGGCTTTTTCTTTCTCTTTCAACTGCTCAAACTCCTGATTTGGTTCCCTATGCAAATCCTATGGGATTGTCACAAGATCTAACCAGCTGGCTGGCTGTAACGAACGATTCGCAGGCAAATATTTGCAAAGTTCGAATGTTCAACAATATCAACATTCCTGAAGCCGCAATTGGGACTGTTATTGCATCCCAGTCGCGAAAAGATCCCGACTATGCGTACAACTGGGTTCGAGATGCAGCTTTCACAATGGATAGTGTTTATGACTTTTACACTGCAGCATCAAATCCTTTAGCTCAGTCAGCTTACGAAGCCATTCTTTTTCAGTACGCACAGGCAAGAGCTTCTGAGCAGAACGACCGAAATACAGCCGCAGGCTTAGGAGAGCCAAGGTTCTATCTCAATAACTCTGTTTTTACCAGGCCTTGGGGTCGGCCGCAGAATGACGGGCCCGCAGAATCCGCAACCACTCTGATGGAGTTTGCAAACGCCTACCTTGACAATAATGGCTCGGTCGAGACAGTCCGACAGCACATCTACGACTCCAATACTTATCCAGCCCAGGCACCTGTCCAGCGAGATTTGCTTTATGTGGCTACAAATTGGTCGTCGCCCTCTTTTGACTTGTGGGAGGAAGAGTCATCTGATCATTTTTTCAACAGAATTGTATCTCATCGGCCGCTTCGTATGGGGGCCACATTTGCTGTGAGGTTGAGCGACTCGGATACCAGCATTCTTTTTGCAACTGCTGCAAACGCAATTGGTGCTACTTTGTCTAACTTCTGGGACTCAGAAAGGCAGCTTATTGTGTATGAACTCGGTCCTGTTCTGGTGAATAAGGCTTCGTACAAAGATATCGCTGTCATCTTGGGTGTTTTGCATGGATACGCAGAAGATGGAATGTTCTCATATACAAATGATCAAGTCCTAGCAAGTGCCTTTCAGATTTCAACTTCTTTCCTTGCTGTATACCCAATAGCAAAGGTCACAACTGACAGTGCTGGGCTCATATTGGGTATACCTGTTGGGTAGGTACCAAGCGTTGCGTTCTCGCTTTCACAGCCCAAGCTTACATATTTTAGACGATATCCAGATGATGTCTACAACGGGACAGATACAGAGCCGAACGGGGGAAATCCCTGGTTTCTTGCCACAGCAACTATGGCGGAGATGTTCTATCACGCTGCTTATGATTTTCAGTCAACCGGCAACATCACCGTATCCGCTACGTCCCTGCCATTCTGGACTTACTTTGCGCCCACAGCGCTATTGTCTGCCGGCTCTACGTATCATAAAGACAGCCTCGAGTTCCAAGCCGCCATTTTAGCTCTGGAAGGCTGGGCGGATGCTTTTATGCGAAGGATCAAATTCCACTTCCCAGCTGATGGAAGACTGGCAGAGGAGTACAATCGTATTGATGGCGTTAATACTGGCGCAACCGATTTAACATGGAGTTATGCTTCTGTATTGAAGGCTGCTTTTGCGAGAGCAAAATTGATGAACAACGAGAGTTATGTTACTGACCTTGCTAACTTGGGATTCTAGACTCTGAACTCGGTTCTTTCTGATTTGACGGGAGTGCTTGGCATACAAGACGGCATGTTAGCTGGCAAAACAGAATTTTCTGGAATTTGTAATCCTCAACCATATACTTCTACAATTAGGTAAGTTCAACGTATTATTGTAAGCTACAAGCAACAAAGTCCTAGACTTTTCTCGCCGATGGAGGCGTTGGCTGTTTTTGTGAATCAAACTCTTACTTATTCGAGTTTTAGACCTCCAACCCTTTTTATTTCTATATGATCAACGTCAGCTATAATAACCTTATGATTATTTTTATTCTATCCTCATCATCTCTATATAATAATCTTCACCGGTGCCGAGCCGTAATTACAGTCATCACCACTGCCCGATGTTGTCTTTTCGAAATTCGAATGGCCAACCAAATCTACAACTTCCATACTTTATATCGCCATCACGTTGTGCATGAATTCTTGACAGTTGTTGTTCTAGGAGTCTAAGAAGCTAAACGCCGCCATTTCGCAATTGTGGTTTTGCGTTCAGCAAGTGTGATGTTTATTGTTTATTGCTTAAGGATTTATATAGCTTTTCCAAACAACAGAATGAATAACCCTTGAACCATAAGGGTATTGTATCATGTGTATATATCTGCACTTAGGTCATAGGTGCTCGAAGTCGCCCTTAGGCACCCCTGTATAATTTCCTATAAGAAGGTTCCTATTCCTAACTCTTTCTATCCCGCATGACAAATCTAAATTATCTCGTTCTCTGCATGGGTCTGTGTACTACTTCTTATAGCTAGATTTGGTAATTGTTTCTTCCTTTTGAAATTATTATGCTAGGGGTGGTAGATTTGTTGAATCTTTTCAACTTTTGAACTTGCTAGACTGGCGATGGTAGATCTATACACTACCACCATTTAATGGTGAGCAAGGCTCTCTGATAATGCGTATCTTCATCATTACCCTTCGATAATAAGTGTATACATTGCCTTTCAAATCCCGTTTTCAATCCCGCTTTCAAATCGCGTTTTTAGATCCCGCTTTTTAATAAGACTAAGAAGATCTATACATTTAAACTACTTAATAACACCAAACAGCGTCTCCTTGCATGACTCCACCACATCGGCAAGTCATGAAACGAGAGGCTGTTAATAGGGAATACAAAGAATCTAGATTAGTATCCTTCTTATAGGAAATCATACAGAGGCGTCCAAGGTAGATTATTGTGACGTGATTGCAATTGTATGGGCATTCTACGTTATAGGCGAAGCTAAGCTTCTATAAAAGAGGCCTCTTGTTGGCTTTGTAACCTGCAAGAGTCGAAGAAGCTAGTAGTCGCGCTTCTTCAGGGTAAAGAGCTTCTTTTTACCACTTCGAGCTAAGGTTGGCAATTGTCCATTCCTTTTGAACTTGTCAGACTGACGGAGGTAGGAATCTTGAATCTTTCTAAGGTTGGAATTCGCCAGACCAGCGATGGAGATTTATGCATTGCCAGCTCCTAATGGTGAGGCCTATCTCCTCTCGTTGGTGACGGCAAGCATCATTGCTATGCCGGCTTCTCAAAAGTCAAAACGTGAATACTTTGGCATATAGCAGGCTCTTCCGGTAAGCGCTTGGAAGTCTTAAGTTTAATCTTGGGGTAAGAGGTATCGACCAGTATGATAGACCAATACAAATTTCTGGAGCTTGTCGTTAAAGTCTTGCTTGCCTTTATCTTCCCGTGGTTGTATAGAAGGATCTATATATGGGAAGGTTTTTGCCCACTGCTCCTTTAGCTTAATAAGCTTATATCTCAACGTCACCAACTCTACCAATAATTGATAGCCATTCTCCTTAGTTGTTTGCGTTATGGATAAGCTAAGCTTTTATAAAAAAGACCTCTTTTTGGTTTTGCAACCTGCAAGAGCTCATCTACCAAAGTTCTACTTGATGGAGAGCTTGTTTCTATTTATTACCACTGCTAGCTAGAGTTGGCATTTGTCTATTCCTTTTGATCTTGTTAGACGGAGGTGGATCTCTTGAATTCTTTGAAGGTTCGAATTTACTAGACTGGCGATGGAGATTTATTCATTACCAGCGCCTGATGGTGAGGCCCATCTCCTCTTGATGGTAACGGTAAGGATCATTGTATACCCGCTTCTTGAAGTCTAAACCTGAATACTTTGATATACTTCGTCCTACTTCAAACGATAAGACGAACTCATGCTACGAAACGAGGCTAAACTCCTGTTAGGAACACTCTCTAGGCTCCTATTAAGCTTGACGGATCATAAGGTGGTTGTATAGATTACAAAATCAACGAGAGAGAGTATCTCTTATAGAAGAACTTGTCCTTTAGAAGTAATACCACGCTGTAACGTAGCGTTACTCGTAGGGAGCTTCTTATTTAGATCCCACTTCTTAAGTTCTAACGCCTATAAAAGAGGTTCTTCTCCTCATAATTCCTCTCTGTATGAGGCATCTTTTCGACTTAGAATGGTGAATGGAGAGCTTTTTTTTGTATATTACCACTTCTAGCTAGGGTTGGTAATTGTCTATTCCTTTTGAACTTGTTAGATTGACGGATGTAGGAATCTTTTTAAAGTTTGAATTTGCCAGACTAGCGATAAAGATACAT